ATGAAATGCAATAATTTTCACGTGATAAATCATAAGGAGATTACAGCGTGACACTTCTTCCACGCTCCATTCTTATCGTTATTATCAATGCAAGCAGGAGCGCAATTTTTTTCTTTTTTTTTTTTAATCCACACGACACAATAAAGACAAATTCGCAATAATATATCAATGTTTACAAATTGATGAACGTCCGACACGGTGATTTAAACGCACGCGCGTACCCGCGATCGAGTATTATATTCTATTATGCAATTTCAACGCTTGAAATATCTCAAACGCTGGCGAACTCCTGCAGCAATGAACGTCAATGTGTGCACAATAATTAGAATATTTATTCGCCGTCGGTGCGCATGCTGGGAAATTTTGCGAACCTTTGAGCGTCACGCACAACTGCGCGCAACAGTGACGGAAGTGTCGACGAACTTTCGACGTGCAACGTTGTAAACACGCGTAATCGTCAAACGTAATGAATCGTTAGGGGAGTTGTACAGTCGGGTGAAATCGCGGTACAAGCGGCTCGCGTGATAGACGGTCTGGACGCGAATAGAAAAAGTAAGAGAGAGAAAAGTGGGAAAAAACGTCTCCTTGGATGTATCCTGCGTACATATGCTAGCCGAATTGACCTTCCATGAGCAAAATTATTTCCTCGCGAGACGCGAACGCGAATGTTTGCGAGCGTGCACAGCGACCAGTGACCAGTAACTCGGCCTGCGTTAAATCAAAAGGGCGTGTTAGCAACTTTTGCTTGAATGAAGTCAGTAATGCCGCAGTGGTGCAGAAATAGTTTATCATAACAGAGACGAAGCAGGCGAGGGAGAAAGTAAGTAAAAAATTGTGTGCCTACGGTTTTTTTTTTTTTTTTTTTAAACTGTTGCAATTTCGTGGAGGAAAAAGTCGCATAACAATCCAATTGACCTCGTTTTCAAGTGTAAAGACTCCACTTTGACGGCCTCGCCCAGTTAGTCGCTTTTCAAAGACGTTTTTTAGCATCGTGCAGCGAGCGGAAGAGCATATTTCCGTTCTTGTAAAATTGTAAAAATTCAGATGCCTCTGCGAAACATTAAAGCATCTTTCTCGTGACTGGACCCGCCATGAAATTTCCTCTTTACAATCTCTCGAAACTCGTTGTACCATTTTTTTGTTTGCCGCCGTTTTATCGGACGTTGAGCATTTCTTGGATTTCTCGAATTTTTGTTCGCTTCACTCCGATGCTCAAGGTTCGATGAAACGGAGACGAGAAATTGTACAACAAATTTCAAAGAGTCGAATTAAATGGGGAATTTCAGGCTCGAAGATTACGACGGAATAATGAGAGAAATTTTTCCGCGATTTTCTTGAATTTTTGGGAATTTTCGACGAGAAAAGTGTCCTTCATCTTCCACTTGCTGCATGATGTAGAGATATCTTTGGAAGAAAAAGAACTCAAGGTTGGCAAAGTAGGGATTTCAGGCATCAAAATGAGGCCAATGATTTTTAAATGATTGTACGATTTTTATTTATACGAAATATCGATGATTTTTCATCTAGGAAATTATAGGACATTATAGGAAATCTTAACTGCATTGAAACTGAAGGTGGAACAGCTTATACAGGATGTCTCAAAATTAAATTAAGTCCCAGAACTTCAACATCGATAAACAAAGGAAAAAAGTGCTTCAAAAATCTGCTCGCTTTTGACCATCGATTTTAGAGAAAATCACGAAGAACTTTCTTTTCTCTTAGTTTGTCACTCAACTTATACGTCCTCAAAGTTTCAACATTTAAATTTGGAGCAATCTGTATTTGAAACGCCTGCACTGTTAAACAGTAAAGTCTTTTTTTTTTTAAAGTCGTTTGTCGTTTGCCAACCGTTTGTCGTTTTTCGACAAGACGATCAGATATGCCTATTCGAATCTGGGAAAATCCGCGATCGCACGCGAATACGGGATTTTAGATATCTCTTTGTCGAATGTTTGCACGTTCTGCGCGTCTCGCGTGGTTGCTTTATGGATCCTCGTCCAGGAAGAATGTAAAGTGGCATTGGAATAAAAACATAAAATTTGTAGTTTGAACTTTACGGGTGAAATCACGCGACAAGTAGAGAAATTTAAGAAATAACATTGGAAATATTGTCTCTTCGGTCAGAGGGATTAGAAATAATGAAAATAATAAAAATCGTAGAAATGATTAATAGCAATGTATTGAAAAGGAATTTCGCAACAATGGGTAATTTTAACAGTAATTATAATAATTAATGATGGTAAATTTAAGCCATATATAAATAATTTTTATTCGTTTGTAGAAATGAGAGGATCTGAAATAGGGATTCGAATATTTTGCGTTAAAATCATTTTTGCATAGGGAAGTTTAGAAATTATTGAAGAGTTGAAATATAGGAAGATTAATAAATAAGACGTTATTCATCAATAGATACGATAAACTTCATTTTTCAGTATTCTGGAGTTAGACGTGACGTTATTTATGAAGTGATTTAATACATATCCGTACCTTGATATTGGTAGTGATATAAATAAAACTCGTTTATCACGTGAAATAGTGTATTCGTATCTCTATTATTTTTATACCAGAGAACGGATGTAGGAAAGAAGTGAATAAAACTAGACAATCATAAAATTAATCGTGTTATACAATAGCAATGAATGCAAATAAGAATTTGCGATAGTACAATTATAATACTTGTACGTCATGACACACGTAATAAATCTAACAGGTTTAACGAAGAACTTTCTCCACTTTAAAGAAATTTAGAAGTTTTCTAGTAAATTTTCACGAATTCCTGCAGATGTCCACGCAATTTCACATTTCCAGAAACAAGCAAATAATTTAGAAAGTTAAATTTGAATAAACATTTGTTTCAGCAAGAAATAAACTTTGGATGTTTCTCATATGTTTGCAGATCACAATCGTTCTCTGGATTTTTGGAATCTCAAGTTTCCTGAAGAAATGCACAAACATATTTTCGGTCCACTGACCGATGCAGAAGATTTTGTGCGAACTCAGAGGTTCGAAACGAGAGAGATTAAAAAGAAATTTAAACGAAATCTTGATATTCTTATTCGTTCATTCATTTCAGCAGTTAACAGGATCCTACGTGATAATCGTGGGTAATAATTATTATTAGTTATTACGCGCGTGATCGTTGGAAGGATGGATATCCTTGACGAAAATAGCGTGGTCCAAGGATTTTTCCATTAAACGTTTTCACTTTGAATATCGAACTAATTCGAGCTCAATGCCGTCGATGAATTTTTATATCGGTTTAACGCTTGTACAGGCGTGCACCTTGCGAGAATGCCGGATCACGTAAACCGCGAAAAATGCCACAGATTATTACACCGTCATGGTTTCTGGCGTGTGCACAACTCAATGTCGCCCACATTTTCGTTTGCATACTGAATCACGTCGGAGATAAAAAGAAAAAAGAAAAAAATGTCCCATTTTCATGAACTACTAGACCGTGTCGCTATGATATTAAAATTAACACAGTGCTCGCAATCGAGCATGCAAATGCATTTCCCTTCCATGCACGTGCTAAGGATCGGCCATGGTCATTTAATATTTACGGCGCTAATAAACGTCGCGGTTCTTGTCGTGTTTATCAGCGACATTGTTTCGCGTTCTAAATAAAAATACACTGAACTTAGACGACCTATTGAACAGCGATTATGTCGCTGATAAAATCAAATTTCTGCCTTTGTCGCGAATGAATTTTAAATTTTTAAGGTCTCTTCGATCTACGTGAGATAGATAAATTTCAAATACAATCTTCATCCTTTGAACGTATCTTGAAACGTGAAAAAAAAAGTAAAATTTATTTTAGCGTAAAACTTTAGAATAAAACAGGGCACGAGCTTCAAAAGAAGTCAATTCAACATTTTCAAACGATTCAACATCTTCAACCTCTAACAACTTTCTTGCTGTCCTGCGATGCTTCAAAAACTTCCAGGAAATCATTGAAATATTTTAATTCAAGCGCCGTTAAGACATCCGCCGGAATATTTAAATTCAGAAGTTCTCGAACTTCTATACTTGAGTTTTTTCTCTTCATCGTCTTTCAAGATACGAAAATTTGGAGTGTGTTCAGAAAATGTAATTTAATACATAATAATATATGAAAATATAATTTAATATATAATAAAAGATAAAATGCAATTTAATAATTAAAATGTAATTTTTGCATAATATACTGCAGATATTATGGCAAGCAATTTATTTTGTCAAGTACGAGTGTATTTTTGTATGTTGCACACACTCTGAACATTCCTGTACATTTAAACCTTCAGAAAATGCATAAATGCATAAATGTATAAAATCCATGTTTCATTACTTTATTATTATACATTTTCACGTTCGTCTTTGCAAGTGTAACAGAGAGGAAAAAATCATCGAATCATAAACGTACTTTTTAATATATTACCCGTATACATTCTCTTCGTTTCTTTGCATTTCCCATAAATTATACCTACATATTTTAATAGTATAAATTGTAAACCTGATTATAATATAAATTGAACATTTATATATTTATTAATCTAACAATGAATTTAACTCTCGATATAATTAAATTCAAAGAGATGACCTAATCGCATTTCATTTCTTTGCGAATCTAGTTCGAAAAATGGAAAATGCAAAGTGTTTTACCTGCAAGCGAAAGCAATGTTTCGTATGTTTTCACCTATTATCAATTTATAAGAAGATTTAAAGTGCAAAAATTGCTTAGAATGCAATATATATGTGAAACCCCCAAGGTGTAGTGTTTTTTATAACACATTCAGCACATAAAAAAAAAAAAAAAAAATAACGTTTCATTAAAGTTCCATTTTTGAAATGAAATTCCCAAGTGCATAAATTTGTATTATAAAACTCGACGCTCCGTCTTCAAACATTCCACGAGAAACAGATGAAAATCCGCAGTCCGCTAATCCCACGAACACGATGCGTCCCACTTGTTACAAAAGCAAGACTTCCCAACCCGACGCAAATACGCACGATGGCTAACCTCAATCCTCCCCAGTCAAGAAACTCTCTTGTTCCGCTGGCGTGCCCATTACAATTCCGCGATTACGATTCAAACGTTGAACCGACGACGACGACTTTGCTGGTCGTCGATTTCCCGGTGTATCGACCGAGCCAATGGCCACTGGAGACCAAGCGGATCCTTAGCCATAAAAATAGGAACACACACACACACACACACACACACACACACACACACACACACACACACTCTCTCTCTCTCTCTCTCTCTCTCTTTCTCTCTCTCTTTCTCGGTGTACAACGAGGATCTGCACGCGGCCTATCGGTAAAATAAGAAATGCATGAGAGAAGGTCGGCGACTTACCGTCGTGGGAGTCGTAGAGGTAGATGATTTTCTTCCAGCCGTAATACCGCACCGTGTCGATGATAGCGCGATGATAATCCGGACGCATGCTTATGGCGAAATCCAGGAGACCGGAGGACGGTGTCAGAACCTGGAACGTAACGTGGAACAAGACGTGTGCTTATGCGCTTTCGACTTTCACATTTCATTCGATTTGGGGGCAATCGGGGGGAGTTGGAGGATGAGAGCGAACGAAGTCGAAAACTGAGAGAACGTTCGGCGAACTGTTGAGCGGAGCCGTTCGATGGCTACACCGGCCGGAAACACTTCCGGTGCAAATGTAACCGTAAATATTTACGACTAGGTGCGCCACGGCGAAGCTTTCCCCGCTCACGCGACGTTTCGCCAGCTTCTTTTCCACCCCTTTTGAAATAGTGATTTAAGCGAATCACGCTCCGATCGTTCGGGGTTGTTGGTGTCCCCTTTGCGTTCAAGAAGTGCGATAAGTATCTTTAGTGTTATCATTATGCAACAAGTGTACGAATACTTTGTAATCAGACTGTGAATATTGATGCATTTTTAGGAAATTAAATGCTCAGTTTAATATGTATCTGAAAAATGCTCATTGAAAGAGTAAAGTGTTTATTATGATATTTAATAATAAATAATTGCATAAACATTCGCAGTCTAGTGCATTATAATTGGTACAATGGTCATTGTATTACCTGTAAAAAGGTATTTAGAAATTTACAAGAAAGGGAGTATTATTAGGTCATTAGATTATATATTGATTCATAGAAATAACATTCCATTCCATATTTATTTATTTATTACTGTTTCCATTAATGTTGGAAGTTTAAAGGAAGCTTTCAATTGAAGAAATTAAATGATTTGAGAATAAACAGCAAATCTTCGTGTAACAAGAGACTTGACGATTACAGACTATACAATGATTTTTAAAAATCAATTACAATATATTCACGTAAATCACTGTAATATATCATAATATATTTTGCCAGTCTTTCCACGATGGACAGAAAGAAACTCTAAAACTGACTTTTTCATAAATCTTCTTTTCAATCAACAGCACAGCTTCAAAATCCATAATACTATGAGGAAATGTTTCATGAATTATCGAACCATCTACTATTAAAAACTGTATGCCATTAGCATCAATTTTTCAAGCACTACCACGTCTCGTAAAAACGTCAGAGTTGCATTTTGAGATTTCTTTCTGGTAAAAGTGACCATAGTCAGCCATTAAAGTTTCCTGAGATAAGCACAAAAGCAACTTTCGGTCATCCAATATCCACCGTAACAGAATAATCCTCAAATCCTTGCGAAGAGACAGAAAAAGAAGAAGGAAATATAATAGGAAGAAACGTCGCTGATTTATCGTACACCAACAGAAAATTGTATCGTACAATTGTTCACGAAAGTCGTAGAGTACGAAATATTTTGAAACTTAGCATTATAATAACATCTGGATAATGTCGGTAAATAAATTCTGAAACAAATCTGAAAAACGTGTGAAATGACTTGGAGTTTGTAGATGCTTATAAATGCAAAATGTTCAATATAAGTTCATATTTGATGGAAATTATAAAAGTCTTTGAATATTCGATGGAATCGTTTTTGATAAGCGTTATACTTAACGGTAGAACTATTGTAAAACTTTTATCTAGAGAAATTAAAGTGCAGGGAATAGGAAGAAATTTAGAATAAATACAATAAAAATATATCTTACGAGAAATCGGTCAAACTTTTAAAAATGCGTCATTCTATGTAAATCTCTCAAATTTCCAATAAGTCATCCTCTTTCATTCCTCCAGAACATAAAAAAAAAAAAGCATGAGTCCTGCAGAAACTTACACGTGCACATTTTCAGATTGATTTCAAATTTCATCGACGTAATCCGTGCAATGCCTGGGTAAAATTCTCAACTGTGTTTCACGCACAACAAGTTTCCATGGTATTTGCTGAAATACTTTCGCGAGCCACAGTAGACCAAAGGGATCAGTGGAAATTGAAAGAGATCTGTTCTTATGAAATAGATCGTTTCCCCTCTCGCGAACCGTAATTGACCGGCCCCTGCGTAGCGTCGAGAAACCGGGAGAAAGGATGGACAGAACGAAGGAGGAAGAGGGGAAAAAAAGCGAATTAGCATTACCACGCGATTAGCATTTAAACGACATGAACGTTCGTTACGCGGCTGGTGCTGCGTGCTCGTGCGTACTTACACGTACGTACGTACGTACATACCGAAATACACGGCCAGATAAAAAACGGCACACTTACGTCCTGGCATTGGAATATACGGCGCCGCCATTCATCCAATATGGTTGCACGATATCAGTGGCGCTACCACAGCCACCACCCGATAAATACACCGCCGGTTGCGCGATTCGGCAAATAAATTTTCCACCGGGCCAATTCATTCCGAAATTCAAATTGTAATATGTTTGTACACACCCCATACATATTTATGTACTTATGGGTAAATTGTATCTATGGGGTGGTGTGCGTGTGCCGATTGCGAACGAGGGTGTATGCCGATTGAACAATCTCTGTCGAACCGTGGTAATTATCGACCATCGCCATGAATCTCTATCGATCTCGACGCGAATTTCCTCGCGCGTGGTAACGCATATCGCTCTGTTACTCCTTTTTTCTCTATGGACTTGCGACACTTCGCGAACGCCGTGCAAAAGTACAATGGATCAAAAAAGTATTTCCTTGCAACGTTTTCGTGAAAATAAAAAAATTATACATTTACAAAATCCTGTTTCCGGGATTATGTGGATAACGAGTTACACAATACAAGTAATATAAAAATTCGAGGATCAAAAAGTTATTGATTGTTTGTTTCGCAGTTCGATCATGTATTTGAGAACAGAATACAAAGTATTTTTAATGGTTCTTTATCTAACATCGGCGCGACAATGTTTCCAATATTTGTAAAAGAATATTTTGTAATTTTTCTAACAACATTCCGCCGTTAGATAAAAATTAAGCACTTCTTTGACTCTCGAACTTTTATATTTCTTATGTTATCATTACACAACGCATTATGGGAAATTTCTACTGTGGACATTAATTCTCTACGCAGTGAACTATTTATGGAAACAGATTCTGCTAGTATGTCATTTGCTTTCATAAAGGTGTCACCTAGAGATTAGTAATGTGCCAATACTTTCTTGATCCATTGTATTTACACGTGCAGCCCAATTATATTCTACATTTTATTTCCATGATATCAAACTTTTACAGATAACGAAAATACTGCGTCAACCTTTCGTCGTGTCATCCGATATAGGATCAAAGAGTTACTTTTCCCGGATAAATTAATACGGGGAATAGTCGTGAAGATAAATCCTCGTGATTGCACACGTATGCGTGTTTGCGTATTCGAGGAGGAAAATAGGAGAGAGAGAGAGAGAGAGAGAGAGAGAGAGAGAGAGAGAGAAGGAAAAAAATGAAAGTAAAACTGGTTTGACTGGGTGGGTGGCTCCGTGATCGCTACGAGGATAAACCTGCGGGAATTTCTAAGAATTTAACGCACGTCAATCGAGTATGCACTCATGTGTTGTACGTGGTAGGTAGTTAAGGAGTTTAACGAGGTTGTTTGAAAAAGCAAGGAGAAAAGGTATTTAAGTATTTGTTAGGTATTTAAGTTAGGGTCTCAGTTGAATTAAATTGTTGATGTTTTAAAGTTAGGCGTGTTATTCGCGTTATTCTTAAACACGACAGTGATATTACGTGTTTGTTCTTCTCATAACTCTCACTCTCTCTCGCAGCTGAACGTTTCCTCGTTTTCGACGAATTTTAGTAAGTTTGTTTCTTCGTTTCTTCAATTTCAACGGCGTGAAAGCGTAATTTTGAAAATACTCCAAGCTAGAAATATCTATAGTAGCTCGTGTTGTAGAAATTAGCTACTCTCAAGTGGAAAATTATTTCTCGCGCTAGGTAAGTAAAAAAAAAAAAAAAAAATATAACCAAAGCAATTAAACGGATTAAAAAGCAATTCGCTTCAATCCTCCTCCAGAAACTGGAATGCTCTAAACTGGAAATATCCCCGGGATTATCATTCATACGGAGCAATTAAAAAAAATTTAATCAAAGCAATTTAACAAATTAAAAAGTAATCACCCGGCGAACAATTAATCCCGATTTTAATTCAGAGGAATTTAAATCGCAGAAATTAATCCGTCAATTTCACTTATCTCCACGGTTCACTTGCTAAAAGTGTGGCTCCATTTTCATCGAAATCTCCCGATCAAATTATATATATATATATATATATATATATATATATATATATATATATATATATATATATATACACACACCGTAAGAAAGACGTTTCCCGCTAATAAAACTTGCTGAACGTAAGCTCGCGTTAACTTTTTTATCGGCGCAGGTGAGCCCCGGCAAAGGCGATAAAAATAAACGTCGAAGGCCGATAAGTGAAAATAAGCAGACACACACACATACACACACACACACACACACATATATAGAGGGTTGGCAAGATAGGAATAAATATCGGCGAGTTTTTTTCCCCTTTGGCGGTATTATAAGTTTTTATTTAGCCAGGCTGGGTAGATCGCGCTATTTACCTTCTCGGGAAACCAGGGCGTCACGAAAGGCATCTGAAACGTGTTGCTGTAAGAATGGAGGGTGTCGAACGAATCCGGACTCACGGCGCCCAGCATGGAGAACACCCCTCTGCTAAATTGACTGCAGACTGCAACAGACAAGCACGCGCGATTCGTTGAGATTTCTTCGTCCATGGGTTATTAATTTACGGCGGGTAAACGAAAGAAACGTAATTAATGGTTGCTCGTGTTTCTGATTCTGCTTTCGATAAAATGCGACCTCTCGCGATGGGGCAGAGAAATAGAAATTTCTTGGCGTCTTCGACACGATTGAAAGGGGATTTGCTGATTGAAAATTAGTGTCGAGCCGGCGGTGACGATTATAAATTTTGTAGAGTTTCTAAAGCTGTGAATTTTTATTTTCTGAACTCTCGTATCACGTACGTTCGTAAGGGCGAAAGAAATTGAAGTGGAGCAAAGATTTAAAAATGATCGAACATAATATGAAGAGGAGATACGGTAATTGTGAATTACTTTAAATCATCTTTTTAATCATTACTACGTATATATTCGGGGGATTGAAGTGAATTGAAATTATTCGCAGTTGAGAAACAATGCAATCAATGAATATAAATTTCTATTTCTTAGCTTCCACTGTTATATTTGGAAACTTTACTCAGTTGGATTTTTGGAAACAATTTAGAATTGGAAGTTAATATAAATTCTTAGAGATAATGATTACAATCTTCTGTTTTTCTGCAATTAGAAGAAACATGGATGGTTAGAAAAAACGTGATTAATTATAATTCCCTTGAAATAATTTATAATTTTCTTTAAATGATTTCTTAGAATGAAAACGATACAATGAAAATGATGAACATTATTGTGCATAACTTTTTATTGTTCTGTAAGATATGTAACAATCATTTACAAGGTGTGTATCATAGAATATGTTGCAATGGCAATCATGAAACTATTAATTTTTACTGTGTCGTCAATTACCGTGAACAATTTCTCATAATTTTGTGCGACGTAAACTTTTAGCAACAATTCAACCACTTTCAAGATAATAATATTGCAACAATAATTCCAATCGAACGAATTCGCAACATTTACTATTAACTTTTAATGTCGATTATCGTGCATAATTCCTTATTGACTGAATTTGTACGATATGCAATTTCAGCCAATCGCCATGAATAATTTCTCACGATTTCGTAAAATTTTGGTAACAACTTGTACAATCATTTTCCAGATAATCTGTAGAATACACTGCAACGGTAATTTTAACTAAACGAAATCACAACATTATTAATTTTTATTGCAACGTGTCATCAATTATAGTGAAAAAAAATGCTCGATCATTCTCTCTCACTCTTTCAGACTGTTTTCGACTAAACGAAGCGAATTTCGCGAAAATCACGCGACCAAATTCAGCTAGCCGCGTTGGTATTTCACGCGTAATTTCATTCGCAGCCGCGTTCCTCGTTGCCTCCGTCAGTCGCCAAACGTGTAATATTCATTCAAAGGTGTCAAAGCATAGCCAGAAGTCCAATAACTCTGTTTTTCATTATCGGGTCGCGAACAAAGAGAAGAGAATTCCATCGGACGCTTCGCTGTCAGAGCGAGCTCTTCTTCGCTTGCGAGCAACACACGCTCAACGCGGGCGTTCGCGTGTCGAATCACGCGTGTGCAACAGCCCATTAACATCGAGATCTCGCTCGCCCGCCACGCTTGGGTGAAAGAAGAAAAAAAAAAAGAAAAAAGAAGAAAAGAAAGAAAGAGAAAATATTTCGGAGCGCGCAGAGCGTGATTTCAATCTTCCATTTTTAATTTTTCATTTGTAATTCGCGATCTTTTTAAATTTCAATCTCTCTCGTGCCCGGATCTCGCCGGTTCGTTTCATTTTTAATTTTTCATCTTTGCACCTTTAATAAAGTAAATTTCACCCCCTCTCCGAATTAAGTGCGGTGGGAAGCCCAGGAAAAATTGTCCAGCAGATTAATCTGCGAATATGCGCGGCCGACAATAATTAACGCCGGGCTGACTCAAACGGTGTAACGTAACGTAAGCGAAGAATTCGAATCTACGATCCAGTTGCGACACTTTACGAAGTCTCGTCCCGTGTTTTCGCGAGAGCAGGGTACCAAGAGGAAAACGTGCCCGGAATTCCAGCGGCCTCTTCTTCACCGAGGAGATGGTGTTTCTTTTTTCTTCTTTCCTTTCTTTTTCTGTTGGGAGAAAGAGACTCGGTACATACGCAAAGTCGATAATAGGTCGGCCATTTGCCGAGTGGGCTTGATAGTGCATCCCTCTCGCGTACTTGACGCAACGGTGCCGCGGTTTGCATGCAACACACGGCATCGCATATCGATTAGAACGCTCTCCTCCGGGGCGAACGACTCTCCTCCGGCATCGTTACGCGACAGCCAACAGGAGCCAGGGAGCTGTAAAGCTAATAAACGCAAAGTCTGCCAGCTGACGACGAACCGAGCATAGGATAGGATAGATCGGCGAGCGAAGCTTAAAGGGTGACGGCGGTGAAGTGGTGGAGCGACGAGGTGCCCAGACAGATCGAGAAGCAGCCGCAGGGATGGATCGAGAGACGTGAAGTCGTAAATAGAGAGGGGCAAAAAGCTTGCAATCGTCACGGGAATCTTAATGTTGCTCACTGTTTTCAAACGACCGTTTAACTGCGGCGGGAGAACTGCGTTGGAACGCTGCACGCTCGTTATACTATATTCTTCATTCTTGCAGAGAGTATTTAAAAATTTAAACATTTATTCTAACATCGTCCGTTATATTTGTTCTCTTACGTAGAATTTTTATACTGCACATTACATATTTGTTCTTCTACGTGGAATTACTCTCGATCGTCGTCCGAACTATCGTTGTCTTAAAATATCGTTTCAAAGAAGTGAAAAGTATTTGACTGATTATTGATTCGAGGACTTCGTCTTATGGATTTCAAGACTTTTACTTTTTTAACATATTGTCTGCCACGATGACCAATGTTACCGGAGGATAATAATATTTATTACTAAACGGTAAGTCCAATAAAACAAAGTAAAACAAGAACGTTGAAAGAGCGTCGTTACGGTTGTTGAAAATTGTCCAAACGATGAAATTCACCTTGTCAAAAAATTACGCAAACGCAACGTGACATTTTCAAAACTTAAATCTGCAGTAGTAATAAATTTTAATCTGTCGTGACACTCGCGAAGAGAAAAAAAAAATATATATATATATATATACAATTCGCTGCAGCGAGTTCAGTCAACGTCTTCGATACAACTACCAATTTTCATTTCGTGAGACTCCACCGCCTGGTGCCAGAGCCAAAGCCGGAGCCAGACGGTCGAACACACAGTGTGTTCGAAGACGGTAGACGGTGGCTGTGGAGGGTCGAAGGTGGAGAATGCGAAAGCAGAGGCGAATTCGAGGGAGGCAACGGGGCCCCGTGGAATTAATAATGATGAAAGAGCGAAGGGACGGAGTTGGAGCGTGCCGCGACCGTATACGTCACGATGCCCCATTATGCTTATGAATATAAATGCACCCTTGGGGGTGGCCGCAATAAATGCCGGCCACAGCGGCGCGCGGATCCCTGAATTCTGCTGGAAACGGTCGCGTACACGCGGCGCGCTGCCCGTGCAACAACGAAAAATAAAAGGCGTCGCCGCACCGCCGGCCAGTTTTTCTTCCTTTCTCTCGTAGACTCTCTCACCCTGCTCGTCCCCCTTCTAACCATCTCGTCGTTCCTCCACCACCTCCCCTCTCTCGTCTACTACCGCTAGTGGTCCACCCGCGGTGGTGGTGCGCGTCCCTTTTGCTTTTTCTACGGCCGCGACCGCGAATGGTACCGCGTAGCGGCCCGTATAAAAGAATAATTAAAATAAAGTAGGCTCCGTGTAATTCTGCCGAAATTGTGGCGCGGCTACAATAACGATAACAACGAAATGGTTAATAAGGGACCTTTGCCCAGCCGCGATCCCCCACCCCCTTGTCAGGCTAATTGCACGGGTAGAAAGGAAAAAAAAGAAAAGAGAAGAAATTACTTTGCGTACGGGGGAGCACGGAGACGGAGGTGTTTTAGAATCCTGTCTGATCTGGAAATTAATTTCCTCTTATTTGTTCCTTTTTTTCTTTTTTCGTTTCTTTAGCTGTCTTTTAGTTTTAGCTTGCTTGTGGAGGATGTGCGTGTCGTTTTCGATGAATTGTGAAAGTTGAACGATGAAGTGTATCTGTATTGCACGCGAGTAGATTGCGGATACATTCATGGGGAATTTAAATGTGCAAGAATATACAGGATATGCGTGATATAATTTAGAGGGTGGAAGAAATTTACTTTACTAAGGAACAGTCGTAAAATTTGTACAAGAGTCTGCAATCTACTCGTAAGAATCTGACTGAATAATTGGTGGAATAACTGCGGCATAACTGTAACTATAGCGGCAAGTAGGACGTGGCTTAATTAGAAACTAATGTAGTCGCGAAGTTAAAAAATTAACGGAGCCTTCGTTACTCCTTGTAATTTTAATCTCTTGATACTACTGATTATTATTTTTATTTCAATCTTTATAAATATAAATATAGTTCAGTCCACGCAAGTAGAACACGATAGGGTATTCTAAATGAAAGAATTACTGCATTTAAATTTTTATTTATTTGCATCTGTTGCTCATTGACAGACGAAATTCTAGTTTTTCCCTATTTCCTCTTATTTTCCCCTTTTTTTATTAAGCGAGTTGGAATTCCTATCGTTACGTTTCTTTCTTCCCACGGAATTCAAATAACGTTGCGGGAAAACGAGCTATCGGAATTTTGGGATTTATACGGTGGCCCGCTTCCGGAGCTCATGAATTATGCAGACGCGAGAACGGGTTCTCGAACGCGGTAATTGGAGGCGAGCGGGTTTCTTCTTTGAAAACACTGGTCACTGAACTTTCGCGCCTGTCCCAATCGAACCGTGTTTTTTCTCGTCTCTTAACACTCTGAAATTTCACTAGAGAGAATATATATATATATATATATATATATATATATATATATATATATATATATCCCATGAATTCTCTCTGTTTATAGCCTTAATTCCACTATTCTTGTTAAATAGGCAGTTTGAATTCCCGACTTTTCTATCTATATC